TTGGACCACAATATAATCGGTGCGATCAAACCAAACCGCATAGGTTAGCGGTTTGGTACGGTTTAGCCCGCACCGCATATTTGACTGCAATTCATAATGAAACAAATAGATATCTTCTTTCCCTGTCCGAATCTGTTGAGCTGTACTAGTTACCATTGACAGAGGTAATGCTACTTTTTTTTAGAAATGAGGTCCAATAAATTAAACCTGTATTGTAACAAAGAAATCTAAAGAGAGCATGCTTTTCTGGAGCAATATAAAGAGGTCCATCTTATTCTCATAAGAGAAAACAGAGCATAAATTTTTTTGCAGACCCACTAAAGTAGATCTGATAACAGGTCCATTACCATTCCAAAGTTCCAACACCATAAACTTGAGCTCTAAATGGTAGCTAAAACAAGGCCGAATCCTCTAGCAAAACTACAAACTATAATTAAAAACTATAACTTCAGGAAGACGACAACTGCCTTGGGTCACTGTGAATTTAGTTAGATATTCAACTGCATTTCAGCCCTTGGTCGCTTCATCTACTGTTTTCGTGTTCCCCTCCAAGCCTCGCTTCCAGATAACAGCAGCTAATGTTGATGGATCTCTGAGAATTGGAAGAAGATGTAAGCATACATGACCTGATTTGCCACATGTTCTTTTGTGTGTATAAAACTTGGCAGATAAAAGTGGACAACATTTTTGTCTATTGAGCTAGTCTACAATTCACAAACAACTTGGCAAGGAGACTCCATCTATTAACATAGTGACAATGTTAATCAAAGATGCAGCTGGTCAAGTAGTAGTTGCTCATCCTAGGGATGACTTGCAGCAGGAAGATCAGAATAACAACCTACCAGAGGTACGTATTATAAAATTAACTTTTTGAGCTTCTGTTCCTTGACTAAGAGGTCAGAATCTACAATGGTTGTTTTCATTCTGTAGAAAGGTGGGTCTGTTGGCATAATATATATATACACATGTGTATGTTCGACATTAAAGTTTTATGCATTGTATAACTAACTGTTGATAATATGAAGGCTTATCAACATAGTCTGGCTTATCAACATAGTCAAAAGAACTTTAACTAAGTAGTTGTGCTTTCTTCTTAGCAAAACAACCCACAAAAAAGAGAATGAAGAAGATTATTAGATCAATTACCTCACGTGTTTGCGTTTGCCTGTATAATAGGACTCGTACGAGGGGTATTGGTAAAAGGAAGTGGAACATCAGAGATGTTAATAGCCTTCAACACCATGCTCAACTCTGAAATTCATAAAATGTCACCATCAACTTGAGCATTAAACAAAACGAATAGCATTTTTATTCTAAGAAAGCTTACCTTCATCAATATTGTCGATCTCCTCTGAATCTTCTTCAACTACACATGGACTAGAATCTGCGCAGAGCCAATCCTGAGTACAAATAAGGGCCTCCACAATCTTAGGAGTCAAAGAACTCCTAAAATCATTCAGTACTCTCCCTCCAGTGCTAAAAGCCGCTTCAGATGAAACTGTAGAAATTGGAAACCTGTGGCTGTTTACTTTCCACCAGCCTAGCACATCAAATTTGGGATCCATTGATCTTTCAACTTCCTCGTTCAAATACCTATCCAACTCAGTTTTGTTGACTACACCTCTTTCTTTTTGCAATTGCTTCATATACTCCGCAATTAGATCCATGTTTCCACCATCTTCATCTAGTTCTGTTTGAGAGGAGGATGAAGCTTCACCTACTTGATTCTCATAATGAGCATACAACTCATAAGTAGCCTCCTCAACATCACTTGTCAAATCACTAACCGATTTCTCATCATCATACATCCACTTGAGAGCGAAACCAATAAAGCGCAACTTTCGCCGTGGATCTAAAACGGAAGCTATGTACAACAACTTGTTCATCTTGTCAGCATCTCCCTAATACTTCTCATATTTCTGTTTCATCTTCGTTGCCATGAAGCTTAATTGGTAATCCTCATTGTTTACAACCATCCAACTCTTCAACAAATTGTACAAATTCCCAACTTCAGGAAGAAACAAGTTGGAGGTTATGTATTGTGAACCAGAAACTTTTAAAGTAAAGTGATAAAACTGCTCCAAGAATTTCATCATTCTTCTAGCACTCTCCCAATCATGTATATCAGGTATTCCACTCTTAGCTTCAAGATCATTTTTAAACTGCTTATCTGACAATCGATAAAGATCAAAAGCATGCTCATACTTCACAGCAGATTGCAACATCAAAAAGGTCGAGTTCCACCTCGTTGGAACATCAAGACACAAGCCACTTTTGCTTGTATTATCAAGAGCAACAAAATTATTGAACTTTTGAATTCTAGCAGGTGATTGCCTAATAAATCTCACAGCCTCCCCGATTCTCTTGATAGAGACAGATATATCAGACAATCCATCCATCACAACAAGGTTCATTATATGGGCAACACACCTAACGTGAAGGAATTTGCCATCACACATGCTAATCTTTCTATCAACAAAAATACTTTTCAATTCTTCTATTGCAGTGTCATTCGAGCTAGCATTAGGGTTGGGAAAATAGACCAGACCGTTAGAAAAACCGTGGTCCAAACCGTACCGCACAGTTTGGTCCGGAACGTAGACCGTGAAGTATGGTCTGGTCTGGTCCATGGTCTGTATTATTTTATGATTTGATCTCTTGGTCTGGTCTGGTCTAGACCGCGGTTTATCGGACCAAACCGTGGACCCAACTGACTTGTCAATACGTGTTAACAAGCCATTCGACCACTCTCCAAACTCCCACAACGACACCCAAGTCTCAACCTTAATTTTGTGAATCTCTTCCCTCTTTCATTCACAACCACATTTAATGAGAGAGTACAGATAATAGTTTCTTCATATGACATTATGTTAATGTTTATGATGTTATGGTGCAAGCTGTGATGTTTTTACTTTGTATCTTTGTTATGTACTAAGATTTAGAGTATCAAAATTATTCATGCATGTTAGGATTAATGTTTTAAGGCAAATAACAATTATTTTCTTGGTTATTGGTTCAAATTTTTGTGTGGTTGACTCAACAAATTATTTATTTTTCGTTGAGTGTGGTCTATCTGGACCAGACCAGACCGCACAGACGTGGTCTGGATCGGACCGTATAGTCTGTGGTCTATACTTTAGCCTCTCGGTCTGGACCATAGACCGTATATATGGTCTGGTCTGGACCAGACCGCACCGTTTCCCAACCCTAGCTAGCATTGTCAACCGTGATTGTGAAAATCTTATCTATCCCCCATTCATCCAAACAAGACATAACTGCACTTGCAATATCCACCCCCTTATGACTGAATATTTGGCGAAAAACCAATTATTCTTTTTCTTAATATCCAGTTTCTGTCAATAAAATGGGCTGTCACACACATGAAATTCAATTGCTTGTTGGAAGTCCATGAATCTGTAGTCAAGCAAACTCTACCTTCACAGTTGCTAAAGACATTCTTTAACTTTTGCTTCAACTCAAGATAAAATTCCCTACAATCCCTAGTCACAGTCCTTCTAGAAGGTATGCAGAATCTAGGACAAGTAAGTGACATAAAATATTTGAAACCCAAGTATTCAACAAACCTAAAAGGTAACTCATCCACAATAATCATATAAGCCAATCCTTTCCTTATAGCGGCTTGGTCAAACTTCCAGCTCCCTACTTCATCACTCTCTCCTAATCCAACTCTAATTGTATTCAACAGTTGTTGAGCAGTACCTTTTTTTATCACCGCATGGTTTTTCCATATGTCTGAGAAGCGCACTTGTTCCATTTCTACGCGATTTAGATTCATAAGTCTTCCCGCATTTGATACATGATGCCTTGAATCTTTCCTTTGTCACATCCCTCTTGAATTGAACCCATACTTTTGATGTAAGCTTCCTGCCTTTTGCCTTCGGTGACTTAATTTGAGTTGCAGTTGAAAATATCAGCAGCACCCACACTACTTGTACTTGCATCCACTTCGACTTCCATATCTTCCCCACTTAAGGACTCCATTGAAACATCATCATATTCAACCTAAACAATGATAAAGTAAATGAGAACCTGACATAATTATTGCTGGGAAGTTAATTGAGCATATAACAACACAGTATGAGCATATAACTCCACATCAACTCCACAAAATTCCACATCAACTCCACAAAACTCCACATCAAATCCCGCTTAAACATGCATCGTAGGTCCACTAAGAATGTAACCATAGTCAAGAAACTCACCTCACTAGATACCGATGCTTGAGCTCGTTTTCCCTGCGAGCTTTTTGATTTCATTTTGCTGATAATAGTATCTTCTTTTTCACAGATTCATTACAACCCTACAACCAGATGAAAGAACATACTTAGAAATAAAGTGACTACCATCTCCACACTATAGCAGCATCTTTAGCACTCTTGAACAATAATATTCTAATGTTATAGCAATAGTGCAATACTATCTCACACCAACAGACATGCATACAAGTGATGAATAAATAAAATCTCCTCCCTGGAGACGAGCTGTTTCAAAGATCACAATTTCCACACCAAGCAGTGTTTTTGTACTAATCAATCCATACAAGAATTGCATAGCATCGATCAAAAGGGGGACAAGACTCACTGAGAAGCAGAAGAATGAGGGAAGGAGAAAAGATCGATAAAATCAATCATAGCTTAATGGAATTGTATTGCGCTGGGACAAAATTGATTGAATGTAATAATACATTTGGATCTCTCATCTGTCTATCTAAACCATAGTCATACAGAGAGGGATTTGCAGTTGCTCGGTCAAAACTTAGATAAATCCTCCTTCGATAGCATACTGAAACATCGCAGGGACTCCATAACATATTGATATCAACTGGATGTTTTTCTAAAATTCGAGAAATTGAAGCACAACCTAATGTTCCCATGACAGAAATAAGCAGACCCAGATAATGAATTGTAGCAAATTGAACCCAGATCTGAGAAAAGCTAGACAATCTTAGAATCCCTTACTATAACAGAGAATGAAACGCATCAGATCAGATGGGAAATGGAAATCTTCAAAACCGATCTCCTGGCGCCGTCGTCCCCCTGGCGCCGACTGACGGAGCCGATCTCGAGGCGGAAGCTGTCGGAGACCGAAGAGGAGGAGAGAGCCTTGAGGATGTCGGAATCAGAGGCGTGAAGCGGGGAGCGGCAGAGAGGGCAGGTCTGGTTGGAGAGGAGCCAGGTGTCGATGCAGGCGGAGTGGAAGGCGTGGCAGCACATAGGGAGGAGGCGGAGCTTGTCGTTTTGCTCGAATTTGGAGAGGCAGACCGTGCAATCGCCCGAGGAGGAGGAGGCTGAGGCTGAGCAGCGGTGGATGGAGGCGAAGGTAAAGAGAGGGAGGGAGTCGAGGAGAGAAGAGTCAGTGATTTGAGGGGATTTAGCGGTTTGCGGTTTTGAACCGCAACCGCGTGATTTCGGTTGGCTCGTACCGCAAAACCACGAACTGCTTAATAATTAAATCGCAAATGAAACTGCAATCTTAACGGTGCGGTTTGGGCTGACCGCACAAGCGATTTGGAGCGGGCAGAGCGGTTTGGACCGCACCAATGCCCACCCCTACCGCACGGCTGATGACATTTTGGACGAGATTGCGCTTGCCGTTGAGGGGGAGGATACTGATACAGATTCTGGTGACTCAAACTCTGACGATTCTGACCCTGAAGAGGAGCCTTCTGAAGAGGAAGATCCTGAAGAACCTGAAGGAGACATAGAGCCTGAACCTGTGACTGAAGTTCACTGGATTAGCAGTGATGATTCTGACTCCAGTAGCAGTGATGACTCCACCAACCCAACATCTGGTTCTCCCCTCTTGGAGGACGTTTTTGCTGCCCTGAGGGATGCCTATGGCTCTGGTTGAGTTTTCTGATTCTTGGATCTTGATTGGATGCTTTGACATGTCTTTTCGGTTTGCGAATGGTCTGTTTGGTTTGCTGGACGTGTTTTCTTTCCAGCTGTTGAATGTTTTTGGATGACTGGTTTGATGTGTTCTTGGATTATGGTTGATCGGACTTTTGGATATTTCTTTCTGCCCTCTTCTGTTTTTTAGTTGCCTTGTGCTTGGGAAATGTGTGTTTTTGTTTTGCAGGTTTCAATCGGACAATCAGCAATCTCTAACTTAGGGGGAGATTGTTGGATTGAAAGGTCTTAATCAGATCAAGTCAGAAGATTGCTTCAATCTGATCAAAGAGGCCGTTCGAATTGAATCCCAAATCAAGGGGGAGCTGTTTGAATTGAACCCCTAATCAAGGGGGAGCGGATGGGCGAAATCCAAATCTTTCCATCTTTAGAGTAGCAACGGCTAGTACAGAAGACTACATAAAGCAAGGCTGAAATCTTTCTTATGTACTGTTTGTGGAATTCTTTGTGGGATAGGGCAAAGAAGGGTTTAAGCAGTGGCTTTGGTTTAGACTGAGGTAGAGGTTCAGTCGATCAAAGGTTATATCAAATTCCTGCGCGGATTCAGGTCGAGTGTCATGCCTTTTGATTTTCTCACTTCTTCTCTGTAATCTCTTGTTCTTCCTTTTTGCTTAGAGTCAAGAAAATCAAAAGTATCTCTCAGAATAATGGATACTATTCCGAGACGAGGAGTAATCCTGTGGTGAACCTCGTTAAAAATCCTGCTATGTTCTTTACTTTCCCTGCTCTTCCTCTTTGCCTCTGTTTCGAACCTCTCTGTTCTTCCAATCCTCTGTTCGCTGTAGCTCAGGGAAGAAGAAGACTTTCTCTTCTCTGACTCGGCTGATTGGATTAAAGTGTTGATCAGCCCAGTTTCCTTTTGTGGGCTTTATCCCAATCCGGCCCAACCAAATGAAGTCAGATTAAAGTGTCTTGTGTCAAAGACTGTTGTCGTTTTAATCTGAACTCATTCCCCTTCCTTTCGTCTCCCTTCAATCCCTAGATATCCAGATTGAGTCTCTTGCCTGAATCAACAGCTGGGACACTCCGTCGCCAGAGAAATCAGCTCCTCCGTCTCCCTTCACCCGGTCACCTTCGTCCACTGCGACGTCACCAAGGAAGCCGACGTCCGGAGCGCTGTGGACGGCGTGGTTTCGGCACACGGGAAACTCGACATCCTCTTCAGCAACGCCGGCATACCAGGTGAGTAGAGGAATCAAGAATTTGAATGAGGGGCTGATTTAAATCGTGAGAATTTGGGGAGAGGGACTAATCGACTACTAAATTTCCTAAATTTATTACGAAATTTACATGTAATTTTAGTCAAATCCTCCACTGCAGGTGACGCCGCCGGAAACCGGATTGCGAACTTGGACGGCGAGGATCTGAGTAGGGTGTTCGAGGAGATGAATTCGGAGAAAGCGGCGCTGAAAGGTGTGGTTCTGGATGAGAATGATGTGGCGGAGGCTGCTCTGTATCTTGCGAGTGATGAGGCGAAGTTCGTCAGCGGGGTTAACCTTATGGTTGATGGCGGATTCAGCTTGAGGAGCGCCTAGCTAAAGATGAATTATTGTTGCAGTGATGGTGGAGCATGAGCTCGGTCTTTTTTATCTTGTAATCCAACCATAATCTCTGTAATGGATCAAGTTTAGCTGTGGTATGGCGGCTGGCTGTTGTTCTTCCAATAATAAACTGGTTTTTAATAAATGAATCTATTTGCCGCCCATAGTTTTACTATTTGCCGCTCGTAGTTACAAAAAATATGACGAATTTGCCCTTCCTTCTAACTAACCCTAAATCATATCAAACTCATCCCTCACCGCCGACCCCTCCACTGCTCCCACCACCAACACCTCCATTCCTCCGACCTGGTCCGCCGACCCCTCCACAACCTCCCCTCACAAAATCGCGGACGTTGAAGAGGAAGGAGCTCGCCACGTGTGATGTCGTCGTCGACGTAGAGGAAGGGGTCCGATCGCCGGACGCGGACGGGGTCCGACCGCCGGTCGCGGACGGGGTCCGAATGCCGGACGCGGACGGGGTCCGACTGCCGGAAGCGGACGGGGTCCGATCGCCCTGCGGCGGACTGGTTCCGAGACCCGTCGGTTACTGTTTTTTTTCCTTCAAAAATCGTGTTTGAATTATAATTTATTTATTTAGTAATTACATAAGTGTAAAATACCATAATTAGGATTTAAATAATTATAAGTATGATAATTAAGCAAATTGAAGAGAATTTTTTAAGGCAAGTTTTCGAAAGAGAAAATTGAGTAATAAGTTTTCGGAAGAAAATTTCCGTAATTAACAATATATTATTTTGATTATATAATACATCTAATGATTATTATTTATTAATATATTAACATCCCAATCCAAATAAGTTAACAACTCAATCCACTTATGGTAGTTGATTGAGGGAATTAGGGTTTGACTTAATTAGGGTTTGACCCGAATTAGGGTTTGACTTCTATAGGGTTTGACCCGAAATTAAGGTTTGATTTAATTAGGGTTTGACCCGAATTAAGGTTTGACATAATTAGGGTTTGACCCGAATTAGGGTTTGACTAAATTATATATATTTTGACCAAAGTTGTTTGAGGGAATTAGGGTTTGACCTAATTAGGGTTAAAACATAATTTAGGTACGATGATCTTATTAAATATGAAATAAATACAATTAAAAATATAATTTATTAAAACATAATTTATATACTACTTCAGATAATTTGTAATTATTTAACATACTATAATTATTTAATTGGTATTATACTGAATTTATTTATTTTAGCTCTATTTACATAATTATAAAATAAGTATGAATTAGTTTGTACTATATTTTTTTATAATTTTATTTTATTTTTTATAAATGCACGATCCGCTCGCCGGCGTCGGACGGGGTCCGCTCGCCGGCGTCGGACGGGGTCCGCTCGCCGGCGTCGGACGGGGTCCGCCCGCCGGCGTCGGACGGGGTCCTCCGCCGGCTGTGATGATTTGGTTCTGGCCGCAGTGGTGATCTGGCGGTGGTGGCTACGCCGGCGATTTGGCGACGGTGGTGGACTGGCGCCAGTGACAGCAAGAGTGGCGGGGTTTGTTTTATAAAAAATGAACAAAGGGTAAAAATGTCATTTTAGTTTAATTTACGGGTGGCAAATAGTAAAGAGACGGGCGGCAAATAGTAACCCTCTTTAATAAATGGGCTAGTAACTAGCTAATTGGCCAGCGTTTTGTGGACTGTGGTGAATATAATGTAGTTTGAGTAAAGTTCAGTTAGTAACGACCTTTCAACGTTGGTGAATGTGTCGACTAACTGCGCGAGAGCTGGTGACTTGTCTATGGCGAAGTTCTTTCACCAGATGCAGGAGAAAGGAATAAAACCAGACGCCATTACATTCATTGGTGTCTTGGCTGATTGTAGAGATGCTGTGGATTGGCAGATGAAGGAGTTGCATACTTCAACTCCATGTCTGATAAGTATAAAGTTCATCTCGCCATTGAACACTATGGAGTTTTGGTTGACGTACTTGGGCGAGCTGGCAGAATAGCTGAAGCAGAGGAACTGGTGTAGAGCATGCAAATGGCGCCCGGTCATTTCGTGCTGAGTGGGTGTGTTTGGTGCCTGCATGAGTCCAGGGGAAACTGGAGGCGCAGAAAGAGCAGAAAAGCAACTTTTGGAGCTTGATCCGGACAATGGTGGGATCTAAGAGGATCAGGGAACTGATGTATACTGAACCTCATTTGTCCTTTTCCAGTTCATATCAACTAATGTCTGCGTACTTATGAAACCAGCTAGTTCCACAATTCTGGCACATAAACGGATACAGGATAAGAGCACAGTCTAACCAAATGGCAACTTAAAAAGCGAAACGATCTCCATCCCCCTGAATGTTGAGCTTAATCCTAGCATATGATCTGAACTTTTTGGGCAGTTAGGTAAGGACAGAATGAAACTTAAACCGTTCATGCAACCATGAAATGGTACAAAGTGTCAATCCTTTGACCTCTTGATGCTGGTGACAAAGTTCTTACCATAGCCATAAACAAAACTATCAGCACCTTCAACAAACATGATAGGGTCCTAATTAACTCCAACAAGTTAGAAAGATACTGCAAACATGACTTAATTAATGAAAAAAAAAACAGGATAATCCAGTTTGAGCTCTAACCGGACTTGAGGTAGATGATAGTAACCTTTCTATAGATGCCTTGAATACAACTTCTAAACTTCTGTCTATAGCACTGCTTTCACAATCAGTATGAGAAGCATAAACAAGAAATATTGAGGAAGAGGCACCCTCCCAGGCTATGATATAATATAAAGAGAAACCTAATGAATTGACACCGGCAATAATCACCATGAAGATACAAAAACTGATTCCTGCTCAATTGTGTATGTGATAAGATTCTTCAAACAATCATAGTTCTAAACAAGCTCAAGTAATACAAAAACTATCAAGTTCCTCCTTACTTATCCGCATTGCCCTCTTTTCTCTCGATAAGAAGCAGATTCTCCGCATCCGGTTCTCTATTGTCTTTCGGTTTAGCAACAGGCTCGACACGTGCATTAGTCACAGACTGCTGGTACAGAACACCTCCGCACAGCGTGAAGAGGAGGCAAAGCAACCCAAATGGAGTGGCGTGCTTATCCCATATCATCACATTGATCACAACAGTCAGAAACTTGTTAACCACACCAGTCACAGTAAATGCAGTAGCAGAAATGGCCTTCCTGGCCGCAAACCCAAAGAAACTGATGAGCACACCAAACACACAGGACAATGCCACTGCAGAGAAAGCATCAATCCTGAACCAATCCCCACCATTTGAACCGACAGCAGCAAACACTTCTCTGTACTCCCCAGTGAGAACCCAAAACACAGGCGATATGAGCAAAGACAGCAGATTGTTGTACAACACCAAACCCCAGGTGTTCAACCCAATGCTCGACACGATGTGCTTGATGTAAACCATTTCAGATACGATAGTCACCAAATAAGCAAGTGCCCATGAATATGCAGTGAGGGTGAAAGCTGAATCAGTAGCCACATAACCCACAGCACCTCCCAAAATGATGAACAGGGACAAGAAAGTGAGCCTAGATGGGATCGGCTGTTTCCTGAACAAAGTGTCGGCTATAGCAACAAGAAGTGGGGTTAAAGATCTGAACACAATGAAAGTGTCGACATTGGCATGGCGCAGCAGATTGGTATTGGTGAAGATCGCGAGGTAGAAAACAAAGGCAGCGGGGAGGAACTTCTTTGCAGTTTCCAAATTGAAGGCGTCGTGACACAAGAACCCTAATTTCCCCATAACCCAGACGCCAAGCGCCGAGGTCAAGTACTGCAGAGCTGTGAGAAGCCCTGGGTAGTTGAATTTAGTGATGGCGAACTTGTTAATCACGGCGAGCAAGCTGGAACAGAGAGCGTAACCCACCACCACGCTGCTCGTGGCGAGCTGCTTCGTTGGATCAGGTCGAATCGCAGACATCTTTTTTCACCCGGAGTGGTGGGATTCTCACTTACCCTTTTCCTTCCCCGGGAAAACAAGCAATACCCTTGAACGAGAAGTTTGAAAAGAAAGAACCAGTACTAGACTAATTACCCGGACAGTGACGAACGAGGGCAGGAACAGCGTATGGGTACCAACAGAGTCTGACGAGGAATTGAAATGGAACTGGGCAGCAGCTTCATCGACCAAAACCCAGATTCAGAAATGCCCCAATCGGTCTCCAGGGACGGAATTCACGGAGAAACATCCAGCGGGTAAGTGATTGGGGTGGGATCTGAGACCAAGATCCCGAATCGGGGGAAAACAGGGGAAGAAGAGTCGAATCAGCGACCGGGAAAAAATGGAGGGAGGGAATGAAGGATTGGTTTTGGAGAGTTGATTGGCTGATAGAGCTGAGATGACTGCGTCGAAGAAGAAGAGTAAATGCGGACAAGGGAATGGAGAACTTTTGGAGTTTGGAGGAGACGAAACAACGAGAAAGCCTCGCCCGTCAAAAACAGGGGACGGTTCGATTAGTATATAACCCCATTAGAAAACTGGAAGATAGTGATGGCAATTTCAACCCGTCCTGCGGGTATTACCCGACCTGATTTGCGATGGGGCGGATATTACCCGATCCGCAGTAGTGTGGGGTGGGGCATGAGTATCTACTTCCGAGCCGCCCTGCTCCGCCCCACCCCGTTCTAGACTCATTTTATCTCAATTTCTTACAATATCTATACATATTTATCCTATTTTGACTTTTCTTCAACTAGTTAGAGTCGATCTTTCAACTTGTTAAGCTCAATTATCTATTCTATTATCAATATTTTTCATTCTTAAAGTGTTTTTCCCTACGTTTTATTGTAAAAAGTAAAATTTAATTGTATTTTTTTTGAACAACATGTAAGAGTGGGTCGATCTGCCCCGACCCGTACCCGCGCGGGTTTTATCCACCCCGACCTGTAGTAGCGTGAGGCGGGGAATGAGAATTGAGGTACCCGCCTCGCCCCGCCCCGCCCCATTGCCATCACTACTGGAAGAGGAGAAGCTTTGGAGAAGTGGCTATGGCG